TAATACATAAATACAAAATTGCTGGTTGCACGTTCAACTGCTCAACATCCCGCCGCCCGTGAATCTGATCGGGATTTCAGATCTGGATTCAGATTCACCAAGTAAATCTAGTACTGCGAGTTTGGAAGCAGGCCTTCGTAGATAACCAGCTGATGTTTTTGCTGTTGCGGATCTTACTTGTCCGTCAGCTGCCAGAAATACGTCAGTCACGATTCCTCGTTTCCATTCACCACGAGATTCGTCATCATCACAAATAATCACGACGTCGCTAATTTGAATAGGCTTTACGAACTGATGCCATTTAGTTCGGCGCGTAAGTTCTGGAAGGTACTCCAGGACCCATCTCTTCCAAAAGGTTTGCTTAAGTTGTTGAACTATGTGCCACTGCTTACGTAAGCATACTTGTTCGTCCACTGTTGGAGTTTGCACGAAGTTCGGGCCACCAAGTAGAAAGTGGTTCGGTGTTAGAGGCTCGGCGCTGTCACTTTCTAGCGGTAAATGTGTTAAAGGACGCGAGTTAACTAGATTCTCAGCCTCGATAAGTAACGAAATTAGCGTTTCCGCTTGTGGAGCCTTCTCTTTTAGCACAAAGGCTAATACACGCTTCACGGAGCGAACCATTCGCTCCCATATTCCACCAGCTGATGGATTTGCAGGGGTGTTAAATACCCACTCCACGCCACGCCTTGCACATTCATCTGCCACACGTTGATCGATTAGCACTAACTCCTCTTTACTGGCGTCTACAAAATTAGTACCCCTATCGCTTCTGATGCGGACGGGCACTCCTCGTCGGTTCATAAAATTCCTCAAGCATACTATTGTTGAGTCCGCCGATAAATCTTTTGCGAGCTCGATATGTATTGCCCTAATAGACATGCACGTGAAGAGCGCCACCCACCTTTTCTCATGCCGCCGACCCACGGTCACCGCTAATGGGCCGAAATAGTCTAGACCCACGTATGAGAATGGTCTGATAAACGGAATAAGACGGTCTTCCGGCAATTGTCCCATGAGGGGTGGCTTTGCCTTAGCGGACATATTTTTGCACAGCTGGCAATGCACCTTTGCCGATCGAACATGCTGTCTTATACATGGTATCCAAAACTTGCGACGAATCACTGAACAAATAGTGTCCTGATTTTGATGCTGATACCGCTCATGAAAATGACGTACAATCAATGTAGTTAAGGCGTGAACCTTCGGTAGAATTATAGGCCGATTTGTATCTGCGGCAACACATTTCGCTCTATCAATACGACCTGCCAATCGTAAGACCTTGTCCTCATCCAATATCGGGGTTAGGCTATAAATTGTACTACTCTTTGGCAAAAACTTGCCGTCCGCCAATAACTGAATCTCTTCGCCGAAGACTTCCCTCTGAGCCAAGCGACAAACTTCGATTTCAGCGGTTCTTAACTCTGCTGCCGATAAATTTTGATGTACGTGAAAACGCGCTTTACCTTTGTCCTTAAATTTAGCCATCGCGCGACGGACCCAGCAGATCACTCTCAGAAGCTTGTAATAGTTCGAGTATCTTGCGAACTCTATACATCGATCAGTCTCAGAAATAGTCAGTAAACTTTTTGGGCGCCTTTCAGTTGCACTTTCCTGCTCGCTCATATCTACTGGCATAGAAGGCCACTTATCCTTCGGAAACTTTAAAAACTGTGGGCCGGCTATCCAACGCGAACAATTTGTCGTTTGCTTTTTCGTCTTCAGTCGGGTTGCATCGTCAGCAGGGTTCAATGACCCGGGCACCCATCTCCATTGACCGACGCCTGTTGAATCCAAAACTTCTGCGATACGGTGTGCGACGAATTGTTTGTAACAGCGACAGTCCGAGCGTATCCAGTTTATGACCGTTTTAGAGTCAGACCAGAAGATTATCTCCTGCGGCTTTACATCATGGCTTTGAACAATAGCGTTCATTAGTCTAACGCCGAGGACTGCTGCCTGTAGCTCCAATCTGGGAATGGACAGAGGTTTAATTGGGCTGCATCTCGACTTCCCAGCCACGAACACCACACCGACTTCGTTTAAATAACAGATCCGCCAGTATACTACAGCAGAGAAAGCCACTTCGCTCGCATCTACAAAAATATGCATATCGACGTGAGAATTCGGATCAGTAAAATTGCTGTGATAGCACCTCGGTACGCTTATGTTTTCTACGTCCGCCAACTCCATGTACCAATCATACCACTTGCGGTAAATATCATCTGGTATTGGTGAATCCCAGCCCACGTTGACTCTCCACAATTCTTGTAGCAGTATTTTAGATTTGATAACGATATTGGCCAAAAATCCGCATCGGTCGTATATGGACATCGTAAGGCTCAATACCTCGCTTTTGGTAGGACGACGATTGCCGCTCAAAACTGCTGGAGAGACCTTAGCAAACTTTAGTACAAAGCAAAGCTCATCGCTTTTTGGTCGCCAGAACATGCCCAATACCTTCTCCGTTTCGGATTCGCCATTAAACATGCTCGCTAAACCGTTATCGAGTTCTGGTCCTGGTGTTTTATTTAACATATCGCGAACTTCGCTCGAGTTGGAGATAAATCCTCTTAGCTCGAAACCCGCCTTCTCGTGGATGTCCAAAACATCAGTTGCCACCCGTATGGCCTCGTCAATAACATCAAAGCTGTCGACATAGTCGTCTACATAGTGACGTTTAACTATTGCCTCTTTTGCTCTCTCACGCGGTCCAGCACAATTCTCAGCGTTTATGTTTTTTACGTATTGCGCTGAGCATGGGGAGCTAACTGAACCAAAAATCATCGCACTCATTGCATATATATCAGGTTCTACGGATTGACTGCCACCTCTCCACAAAAATCTTTGAGCGGTCAGATCGTCCTCTTTTATTTTTACGCGGTGAAACTTCTCGCGTATATCCGCACAAACACCAAATTTTCCTTGGCGGAACTTAAATAGAATTGCTGCAAGAGACTGTGGCTGATAGGCGCTCGGGCCTTTCATCAATCTCGAATTAAATGACACACCGTTTATCGATGCAGCAGCATCAAACACTAAACGCCTCTTGTTTCCCTTATTAACGTTGCATACAGCAAAATGTGGCAGGTACCATGTATGGGGCTTCACTATAGCAGCTTCTTCAGCTGACAATTTTTTTGCATACGATTTCGTAACGTAGCTTTCAATTATATTTTCATACCATGCAGCGAATTCATCATCTTTTTCTCGATCATATGCAAACGACTCAAGGCCATAGAGTAGCTTTCCTGAAATTCAATACGATCCTCTTTCCACAGGAGACCGGTTTCATACTGGTTGCCACATCGCTTGGTCGTTTCTAAGAGAATCCGCTCGGCTCGCTTGTCAGCTTCCGAAGCAACAGGCTTTAGCGACTTCACACCAAAATCTTCAATGGTAAAATACTCATGCATTTGTTGTTGAATTTCATTTATCTTATCTTGCTCGCAATCAATAAGGCAAACAAATGCTTCGGAACTATCTTCGTTCGAACCAAAAAGCATGTAACCTAATTTTGCTTTATGAACCGCGAAGTGTTCATCTAAATTAATGATGTCTATTGGACGCACAAGCTGTATATGCGGAATGCCTATTAACATTTGCGGCACAACATCAAAATAATCTTCAATCGGTAATTCATTTAAATCGGCATATTTCTTTTTAAAATTTTCCAAATCTAATGTTTGTGGCGGTAACTCTAGGTTTTTTGTTGTTCTAACATTTCTCATTTCGAATGTATGTGCATTAACATTTGCACTTGAAATCTCTACATTCAAGCGTTGAGACGCTTCCCTTGTTGTTCTACCACCTATCCATCGGAATGACAACAAATCAGATGGCCCTTTTAACCCAACTGATTTAGCAATCTGTTCTTCAATAAGAGAAATTTTTGAGCCGTCGTCTATGAATGCCATAATCTTACGGCATCCCTTCGGACCTTTTATTATCACTGGCAAGAATTTAAATAATTATTTCTTATTTGGTTCTTTTTCGAAAATAGTGGCAACATTCGCTGTCGTTTCTTTTGGATTCGACCACTTTTTCGACGAGTTCATTTGTTCATTCACCGTATTTGACGTTTTCTCTGTGCTGCTGTTTTTGTCAATAGCAGCCTTTTGTTTACATTCTTCATGCAACAATCGATGGTGGTATCTTTTGCAAAAATTAGTTCCACATTCACGGCGAATATTGCAGCTTGTTACATTGTGGCCATCACGAAGGCAACAAAAACAAAGGCGTTTTGTTTTGGCAATTTTCCATCGTTCGCCGACGAGGCTGCGGCGAAATTTTGAGCATTGGCAAACATCGTGTTGTTCGTCGCATAAAAAACACTGCGGCTTTTTATCATCGGTGGTAATTGTGTACGTTGGCTTGTAAACTTTATCTCGCTTTGCATTGTGCGTTATTTCGGGTTTACTTTGCTCAGTTTCTGTTGCGATTGCTATAAACATTGCAATACTTTGCAACCACTGACTAAATTCTATTACACTTGGATATTGCATTCCGTTTACACATACATAGCGAGCCCATTCTTCTCTCTTCGATAGGGGCAACTTGCTTACTAGCTCATCTAAAAGCGTTGGGTTACACAGATGAGGTGTCGCGCAGGCATTTTGCAAAAACACTGTCAGATTCGAAACCATCGTGCTAAAGTTTACTATTTCGGATATTCTTGAACTGGAAATCAACGGAAAGGCTCTCGCTTTCGCTATTTGACTTTTAATCAGTATCTGTGGTCTTCCATAGTGCATCTCTAGTGTGCTCATGACCGCAGTGATACTATCTGGGTGTATTAAAAAAGCTTCGACCTTTGCTTTAGCTGCGCCCTTTAGCGCTTTTTGAAGACGCAATAAATTCTCCAGATTTGTATGGCAAACATAGGCCATTGCTCGGGTAGACCTGTAAATTCTGGGAGATCTTGTAACTTACGTATGGTATGGCTATATCCTTGTGCTGGATTGCCCATCGGAGGCAATGTCGTTGAGTTCATTGGCAAATTTAAATTTCCTTGATTTGTTGATGACCAAAAATGAGGCATTGTTGCAGGGGTCGTCGGCACAGTTGACGCTGGTCCTGCTTGTATAAACTGCTTAGGCATATAAGCTGAACACGTAGGGTCGATTAATGCTGTTCGATCAGGCGCACCTGAACACATTTGTTGATACGTCGGCACAGTTGACGTGGCATGAACGGTTGGGGCAGTTACATATTCCCCAGTACAGTACGTCGGCGCAGTCGACGTGGCATTAACGTTTGGAATAGTAACATATCCCCCAGTGGGGTACATCGGCAAAGTTGACGTAGCGTGAACGGATTGGATCGCCGCATAGCCCGCAGTAGAGTACGTCGGCGCAGTTGACGTGGCGTGTGCAGGCATATGCAGTGAAGGCGTCGGCAGGCATGACGCGAACTGGTTAGCTCCTCGGTAGCTTGATGTAAGTGGCGTCGGCAAAATTGACGCTTGTGCTGGCAAATTTGAGGGTGCTGTTGTGGGCGAAAACAGCTGTTCAAGTCTAGCATTCTTTTTGTTAGACTCTTGCAGAAGGTGTTGCAACTCTGCAATTTTATTGTGGAGCTCCGAAGCGTCACTTTGTTCCACCATTGTTTTTTCATGCTCGCCGTCGCTAGCAGAATCTTCCATTTTGTCTGAAGAGGGCATTATGCAGCTACGATTTTTCAATCTCTCGCTGCGTCGTGTCATACACACGCGTTTTATTTGAAACGTTCAAATAAATAATAAAGATGTTGGGAATTAAAGCAAAAATAACACGAACTCCGTTTGGGTATTTGCTATTCTCAGTTTAATATACAAATATTGCAGTTGAGAGGGAGGGAGTTTATTATCTGTATTAAGTAATATAAGTTAATAAGATACAATTTCATGTAATTCAACTTACTTATTTGCTATTTGTTCCCATCAACCTGCTTTTTCAATAGCCTTGCTCTTTATCATGAAAAATGGTTGCTAAGAAGTAGCGTTACCTTTTTGTATCTTACAAATGTGTTGCAGAGTGACTTACATAACATGTATTTCAAATTTCAGTTAA